GGAGGGGAAAGAGAGAAAGAGCAGAGCGGGGCGAAGAAGGCGAGGGGGGGGAGCGCGGCCGGTACCGTGATTCCCGCCGTCGGGAATGGCGCCTTCTCCTCCTCCCCCGCCGCCGGCTGGAAGGGGCTGCCGGTCCCGCCGTGGGTTCCCCCCGGGAGCTGCCCTGGGTCTGGCGGAGCCCGGTCGGGTTGTGAATCGGTGGCAGAGAGCTGCGGCGGGTGACAGCTCGGGGAGGGAGGGGGGAACAAAGTCCCGGCTCGGGGCTCCTTATCGGAGGAGAGCAAATTCAGGAGAAGTGGGATATTCCTGGCAGGAGCATCTCTTGATGCAAACACACTGTCCTTGATCATCACTCAGGCAGGGCAGGCTGGAGCTCCGTGCAGGCACCTCGCTGGCTGAAGTTCCAAGGAAATCAGATAAGGAGTTAAAGGATATCAGATAAGGAGTTAATGCTACGGCAATCAAGAGTAAAAATCTTTGAGCTGTCAGGGTGGAGCACTGCATTGTGCCTGGGGAAACTGCCATCCTCCGCAGGCAGCGCCCACCGAGGGATGTCTGCAGGAGCAGGGAAATGTTACTCACCTGCATTTTCCAGAGCTGCCATTCTCCAGAGTCTGTAGAATTCTCACCCTTTTGCCCGAAGGTTTTTCGTGCCACAGCAGTGCTGCTTGTGCTTGGCGTCACACGCGGGAGGCAAACGTCCCAGTTCATCCCAGTGGCCAGCTGGCTGGTACTGGGCCAGGCTTTCGCAGAAACCTGGTCTTAAGATTCCTGGGTATTTGCAGAAATGAGACAGCAGCAGTGTGCTGCATCCTGGGAAACGGTCCCTTTCGGTCCCCCTTGCAGTCCATTACAGTGAGGCACCAGTGGGCCAGGCCCCTGCCCCGCTGTTCTTTGCCCTGCTCACAAAACCATCCATCCCACAGAGCCTGCGGAAGGAGGACTTTGGTGTAGAAGACAAGCTGTGCAGTGTTTGGTTTCAAGAGTCCACCAAATGGCACAGCTGATTAATAAATGTTTCTTTAGCTCACACACCGCGCTTACAGAAGTTGCAAGTTTTTAGCCAGGCTGACAGTCCTCAGTTTCTGCTGAAATGGTCTGCTTAGTCTTGAGTTCTAAGTGTTTTCTAAAAGTCACACAGTCCAGCCAGCGGCACAAGATGGGCAGATACAGAAGCCCAAACAGCACTCAATCAGAAAAGCAGGTACAGAAGATTAACAACAGGGAGAGATTTTGAAAAACCTACAAGAAGAAATGCAGCTCAGTTCATTTATGGCATCACTTGTTCTGAAAGCTGTGGCCGATCTCACATTTGCAAGAACAAGATACTGCGTAGCACAGAGCCCTGGTCTGTGGGCTGCATTGTAGACATAGCTGGGGCCATGGAAAATGTGCAAGGGACACAAAGAGACAATGAAAGTGATTGGCACAAAGACTGCAACAAGACTCAACAGCACCACTGGCATTTAGTTTGCTTTCAGCTCAAGAGGAGGGGGGAGCCTGCCACATACAAAAGCCTATTGAAAAGGTGTTTGTCCCAAGCAGCAGTGCCAAGACTTAGTTAGACCGGGCTCCAGATGACTTAAAGACCTTAGGAGAGAGGTTACTGAGCTCTTACTTCTCTCATCTGCAAAAAGGAGGAGCTGTGTGGCCACAGCCAGGGCTACAGCTCAGGTTGCACAGGGAAGTTCAGCAGAAAAGGAGATTTGCTTGAAGACTTAAAAGTATCCTGGACAGTCAGAACAATAGTGGCAAGCAGAGATCCGAACAGACAAAAGAGTCAGAAGATCAAAAAGAGAAAAAAAAAAACCAACACAAAAAAATAGGAGAGGAAGCAGGAGTTAAAAAGGAGGCAGGTCACAAGCCAGCCTATTGGAATTTCAAAGCCCCCAAGCAGCTTTGAAAGCAGCAGTATCCACCTTTACTCACTCTAGATGGAAAAAAAGCAAGCTTCCCTTTTCGGTGCCGCTGGGCTGTGTGCTGCACAGTGTTGTGACAGCAGTAGGTCATAACAACAGCCGCTGTACCCAGAGGTGACAACGGCAGTACCACCTTGACGTTGCTGTACGAGACAGCAGCAAGAACTATGCAGTCCCAGGCACAACTCACAACTCTCAAGTGAAAAATGCCTCTCAGAGTATCTTGTAGTATCTTAGTTGCGAGTTAAATCAACGAGATTCCATCTTCTCTATCAGCCGATGGGCTCCGAGTTCAACTTCTTATAAATATATCAGCAAATGTCAGAATCAAAAAGTGGTTTCGATTCCTGTTGACATTACACGCTAAGGAGAAAGTAGAACAAGTACAGAACATGGTGCTCTTGGGTAGATGCTAGAGAGCTGAACTAGAAAAGCAGCACATCAAATACCTCCTTTCAAGTTCTATCTTACAAAAGGCTGAAAAAGAGTAAAAAAAAAAGAAAAAGTATTTGGTAGAAACAAGCACCTGCTGTTTGGTGCAGAGAGCTGAAGACAGAGGACAGCTTCAGGATCTTTGTGGAATGAGTTTATGCAGAAAGCCAGGCCATGAACATTGGTCTCCTCCTCCTGAAAACAGCAAACAAGAATAGCCCTTTTCTTCTCCTCCTGTTTGTGCAGCTGTAGTCTTGCTGGCAAGAGTGGAAGGAGAATGAGCTTGAACCCTGAGGAAAAAAAAAACCCCAACAAAAAACAGTGAGTTCCTGGGAAAAGCAGCCTATCTCCTAGACTCGTGCACTAAGGCTTCTGCTTTGTTCCGAGATTCGTGTTCAGACATATCATTAACATTCCCTGCTCACTCCTTCCTCATCCTCTCTCATTGTTACGTGCCAGTCACAAGCATAGGGGTTTATTTTAAAGAATAAATCAGGAAAAATTTGATAGTACAACTAAGAAATGCAAGAGCCGCATACCAGCCAGCACAGCACACCTCAGCTGGGGAGAGGATATTAGCTACAAGGGGGACAAAACCTGTTTTTCCATAAAGTTTGGATAGACATTGTACCGTACTGCCAATTTTTGTAAATTAGCTCTGTATATGCTGTTCTGGCAGCCCAGACAGCTCCTCTTTGCTGGAGGCAACAAATAAGCACCTTGTTGGAAGAACATACAGCTGTTACCCAGAAACCTACTTAGCATATTTGTTTTCAAATCCAAGTTTAAAAAAAAAAAAAAAATTAAAAAACCAGAACAGGGTAAATTGTTTTCCTAAAGTGAAAACAAACTCGGGGACACTTTGTGCCAGAGCTATCCAGAGATAACTCAACTCAGTCGAGTTGCCCCATCCTGCCCTGGTGGCACATCCAGCTGCTGAGATGAGCACCTCCTGACCCAAGCAGGGAACATTCAGCAACTTGTTTCACCAGCCAAATACAGACCTTTTCTTTGAAATTAACACCGTTGGCCTTCGGTTACAGAGACACAGAAACTCGCTTTTACCATAGAAACACTTCTAGTGTCAGTATTTATTTTTACCTTAATATACATTTATACAGGCCATAATAAAAAGGCTATTACGCAACAGTTCAGTGAGTTATTACCTAGTTTCAAGAATAATGCATGCAATTACAAAGGAGAGGTAGAAACACCGTATTAAAGACCTAAAAATACAAACATTATATAAACAAACACTTTCAAATTAACTGTTGGAATTTCATACAGATAAATAAGGTAAAAAGTACATTACTCTGTCAAAGTAAAAGGAAACACATGGTTATCCGAACACTGAAAACAATATTTTGATGTGTAAGCCCTGTACAACTTTGTCAAATAGTTCAGACCACTGTGTTTAAGAGAATTAAAATGATTTTGTCCTGGAGAATGGTTTATTCAAGTATTCAAGCAGTTGAGTAACAAAAAAAAGTCCCAAAAATAAAAGTATAGGAACCATTTCCAGAGAAGCTGATCTGCCTAAATACTTTGCAAATCGGTGTCCTGGTGATCTTATGGGATGCTTGAAATAATAATGCCTATAAGGCTAAATGAAGCTTCCCACCTCTCCCCCTAAATGCACACAAAATAATCCTGATTTTTCACACGCTGTATGTAGATATTCTACATCGATTTCTCAGCATCTCAAACCCCAACATTATTTTCTGGTTTTGCATGGTTCCTTGCGCAGAACCTTTCAGCTTACAGTATTTATTGTAATACTGCCCAAGAAACAAACTACAGAGAACTGTCATTACACCCCTAGAGACTGCAGGCATTAATGCACATATCGCATGCACAACAAAAGATGCAACCGAATCTATATAAAAAGCAAACAACCAGCAACTCAACATTGCTATTATTGAGAAAGTCCAGAGCAGTAGTTACTCAAGTATTAGACAAATAGGTATAAAATGGAAAGGTTCACATGAATACAAGTTTTTACAGTTTGTTTGAAAGTCTTCTAGAAGCTACATTTGAAATTCTGAAAAGAATTTTATGTACACTGAAATGAAATTCAGCCAAGTCCATTGTGCCTTCTTTCTCTATTTTTTTTTTTTATATAGTTCTTCAAAAATGAATATACAGTTGCTTTAGTAAATTAGTGCAAAACAAAATATTTTGGAAGAAGATCATCAAATTGTATCCACATCAGCTGAAAACCCACTGGGGATTTTGCACAGATGGAGCGCAATTTCTTCCATTACCATCTCTCCCCCGTGTCAAAGAGCTTTTTAATGCCATCCCTTCATAAGACAAGCTGAGCCATATTTACAACACGTGAGCTCTGATATGAGCCAGCACAGCCCTGAAAGCTTCAAACAGCACTTGCACATGGTTAGGGTTTTCCCCAAATTCACTCTGCCATGTTTTACCGACAACTTAAAAATATTTTTTTCGTG